CATCATCATCATCATCATCATCATCATCATCATCATCATCATCAGCATCATCATCATCATCATCATCATCATCATCATCATCATCATCATCATCATCATCATCATCATCATCATCATCATCATCATCATGATCAGCAGCAGCATCATCATCATCATCAGCATCATCATCATCAATCCTTGGGCCCAGCGAGGGCCGCCAGGGGCCGACAGGAACAGCCAGAAACCTCCCGTCGCGATTTCTCTTCGACACAAGCATGCCCTCTTCCTCCTCCTCCTCCTCCTCCTCCTCCTCTTCCTCCTCCTCCTCCTACTCTTCCTCCTCTTCCTCCTGTTTCCTCCTCCTCCTCCTCCTCCTCCCTGGGGCCCAGATGAGCCTTACCAGGATCGATGAGGTGGCGAGCCTTCGGGTCCTCCTCCCCCGTTTCCGATCCCCCGATCCCTCTTACCCCCCCTCACATCGGGGGCGGCCACGAGGGTGGGGGGCGTCCAAGAGGGGGGCTCGCAAATCGTGACCCGAGGCACGGTCCCGGAGGAAAAGGGGGGGCCAGGGAAAGCTTTGAGATAAGAAGATGGGTTGATATCACCCACCCCTGGTCGGTACTCGCCTCTTGGAGCCAACCTTCCCCCCGTTGTTCACGTCGCGATTCACGCCGGCGCCGTCCAGGAGTGAGCCCTTCCTGAACAGTCCCTGACGGCGCCAGCGCGAATCGTGACGTGACAGGCCCGTTATCGCCAGGGGATAGAACACGGTCTCTTGGCCACCCCCGATGACGTTGCCCCTGACAGGAGCAAGAAATGGAGCAGCAGTTGACCAAGGAGCGACCGTCCCGGCATTCCCATAGGCCGACAATGGAATGTCCTCTGGATCAAAGAATGTTCTAACGGTAGACACAATCAATGTTCCTAGAGCGTGGAAACTCTGTATTGACCAACTCGGCCTCAGCCAGAAATGCTCCAAGAGTATATCGGGCAAACCACAAGAGGTACTTACGGCAGGTTGGTGTCGTGACGACCCTGGCGTTGGTTTTCGACACCGCGTGAAACCGTTCAACCTTGAACGATCGGAGGCTCTTCCATTGCCATATAGTTCCATGTTGGCCCATCCTGGGCCAATGGCGGCGTTCAACCTTGAACGCCCGCAGCGGGGCCGCTGCCGCGTCGGCACGACACGAACCGACCGTAGAACATTGCTTGACGTGCTAAGATCCATCCTTGGACCCCTGCTGACCCCAGGTCCGTTTTGAGAGCCCCCCCAGAGGCCGAGAGGTGCAGAACAGCGCCTCGGACCTGCCCGCCTCTGGCCGGGTCCGGTACTAACACCCACAGGACCCACAGGCAGCTCAAAACTTGGTGGGCGTCGTCGTTGTGGCCGTCGTCGTCGTCGTTGTGGCCGTCGTCGTCTTCGTCGTCGTCGTCGCCTTCGTCGTCGTCATCGCCGTCGTCATCGCCGTCGTCGTCGTCGTCGTCGTGGCCGTCGTCGTCGTCGTCGTCGCCTTCGCCGTGGTCGTGGTCGTGGTCGCGTTCGTCATCGCCGTCGTCCTCGTCGTCGTCGTCGTCGTGGCCGTCGTCGACGTCGCCGGGACGCTCCGCCACCGGCCGCCGGGAGGCGCGGGCGGCGCCCTCCTGCTGGCGCGGGGGGCCCGGCCCGGCTGCGGCACGCAGGGGCAGAGCGCGGGCGGCGGCCTCGTCGCCCGAGCGGGCGGCGAGAGCTCGCCGCGGTCGTCGTCGTCGTCGTCGTCGTCGTCGTCGTCGTCCTCCCCCTCCTCCTCCTCCTCCTCCTCCTCCTCCTCCTCCTCCTCCTCCTCCTCCTCGTCCTCCTCCTCCTCCTCCTCCTCCTCCTCGTCCTCCTCGTCGTCGTCGTCGTCCTCGTCGTCCGCGTCGTCCTCGTCGTCGTCGTGGCCGTCGCCCTGGTCGCTGTCCAGGAAGGCGGGCTGCACGCTCCTCGAATGTCCCGCGCGGCGGGGAAGGCGCACGGCGAAGGCCCGAGTTCCCGAGAGATCCGCAGGTGTGCATTTGCACAGCCCCAGCGCTCTTCGCATAGAAGTCGGCCCCCGGGGGCCGTTTTCTGACCCCGCGGCCATTGGTGGAAAGGGGTCGGGGGCTCTGGGGCCGCGGATTCGGCAAGATCGTGCCAGCGGGTGTCGGCCGACGCAAGACGAGAGCGGCGACGACGACGAGGACGGCGAGGGCGGCGAGGGGTTCGAGGAGGCCAGCGCACGACGATGGAGCGGACGGCGACGACTGCGAAGGCGACGCAGGCGAACGACGACTACGACGAACACTGAGACCACGAAGCAGGCAGTGGGGGAGCCTGTGCGATACAATATATGCGGTACGATGTACGTGAGGTACTAGATGTGCACACTGCATGGGACGCAATCTACGTGGTGCCATGTATCGGAGGCAATACATGTTGTGTAGAACGAACGGGGTGCAATCTGTTTGGTGCTGCATAAGGTATGCAATCAATGTAGTGCAAGCTAGGTATTGCGTGCTTGTTTGCGCAAGTGGTGATGGTGCAAGCCGTGTGGCGCTGTTGCAGGAGGAGGAGGAGGAGGAGGAGGAGGAGGAGAGCGGAGCGGAGCGCGACAAACCCTGCTCGAATCAACACCGCGGCAGATGCCATGTGAATCGACAGGTCGCCAGAGGAGTGGGGAATGCTACACGCCCCCGCCTGTACTAGTACTAGGCAAGATCACGCGACAAACGGGAGAGCGAGCGAGTGCGCTGCAAGGCAATCATCATCCCCGAGGCCAGAAGCGGCTAACCACATCACTAATGGCACGCGGTGGGAGGAGGAAGCCGGGACGATGACGAAGCAGAGACCCGCTAATTACTCGAATGTAGAGGGCAGCCCCAAAAACGGCTCGAGTATTAGGCCCAGGGCACTGGCAAGAAGCGCTGAACAGCTCAGCCATGGAAGAACATCGCACCGCGGAGCGCGACGGCGATGAATACCACGGCAAGCTGAAGATGACTAGGAGTGCCAAAAAGAGAGGCGGTACAACAACAAAGTGGCCGCAGTTGGCACAGCAGGTCGACGCGGGCTGACCGCGCGGAGGCTGACGCACGACTGCAAGAACCACCTTGGCGCCAGGCCCTCGACGACAAGGGCGCGGCAACAACGGCACCGGTGCTCGGCCAGGCAGAAGCCAGGCGGAGCAGGCCTGACGGCGAACGCTACGACGTCCGCCAGTCATATCTGCACAAAGGAACCGCCGCCGAACGGTGGCTCCGCGGCAACTATCCACTTCCCCTCAATCCGTCACGCTGTGCTGGCAAAGGCACGCCGCGCTGCACCAAGTGCGTCATCTTGATCTCGAACTCCGAGCGCGTGGCAGGCCTTCGCCTGCGACCGCAGGCGAGCGCATATTTCGCAAGGCAAGATGCCCTCGTCCGCTCACCGTTTAACAAGCACCGGCACGCTTAGGCATGCCCAGCTGTGACTGACCTGCGCTGGCGTGGGCTGCACGTCAGACGGGCGGCCAAGAACGCGGTGACCCCAACCTTCCGCCGGGGACTTGATGATATGGATATCGTGCTCTGGTTTCGATCCGTGTTCTGGTATCTTCCTGCGGTCTGGCTTCATCTCGTGCTCTGGCTGCGTCTCGAGCTCTGGTGTCGCGTGTTGTGGCTTCGTCTCGAGCTCGGGCGTCTTCTCGTGCTCTGGCCTCGTCTCGTGCTCTGGATACTCTCGAATTCTGGCATCGTCTCGTGCTCTGGCCTCGTCCCGTGCTCTGGATGCTCTCGAGATCTGGCATCGTCTCGTGCTCTGGCATCGTCTCTGCTCGGGCTTCAGCTTGATCGTGAGCGTCGACGCATACTCTGGGAGCGGCTGGAGCGGCAGGCATGATGCTGGTGTCTGACAGACCGGAGACCACGCCCACGCCGCACCTTGAGGCCTCCGCAGGCGCCTCCGCCACCGTCGCCGCCATCCAAGCCACGCTGATTATTATCATTATTATTATTATTATTATTAGTAGTAGTAGTAGTAGTAGTAGTATGATTAGTATTATTATGGTTATTATTATAATCACTAGTAGTAGTAGTAGTAGTAGTAGTAGTAGTAGTAGTAGTAGTCGTAGTAGTAGTAGTAGTAGTAGTAGTAGAAGTAGTAGTAGTAGCAATAGTAGTAGTAGTAGTAGTAGTAGTAGTAGTAGTAGTAGTAGTAGTAGTAGTAGTAGCATTAGTAGTATTAGTATTATTATGGTTATTCGCATTAATATATTAGTAGTATTATTAGTATTAGTACTAGTATTACTCATATTATTATTATTAGTAGTAGTAGGTGGTAGTAGTAGTAGCAGTAAGAATAGGAATAGTAGTAGTAGTAGTAGTAGTACTAGTAATAGTAATAGTAATAGTAATAGTAATAGTAATAGTAATAGTAATAGTAATAGTAATAGTAATACTAATAGTAATAGTAATAGTAATAGTAGTAGTAGTAGTAGTAGTAGTAGTAGTAGTAGTAGTAGTAGTAGTAGTAGTAGTAGTAGTAGTAGTAGTAGTAGTAGTAGTAGTAGTAGTAGTAGTAGTAGTAGTAGTAGTAGTAGTAGTAGTAGTAGTAGTAGTAGTAGTAGTAGTAGTAGTAAGTAGTAGTAAGTAAGTAGTAGTAGTAGTAGTAGTAGTAGTAGTAGTAGTAGTAGTAGTAGTAGTAGTAGTAGTAGTAGTAGTAGTAGTAGTAGTAGTAGTAGTATAAGTAGTAGTAGTAGTAGTAGTAGTAGTAGTCGTAGTCGTAGTAGTAGTAGTAGTAGTAGTAGTAGTAGTAGTAGTAGTAGTAGTAGTAGTAGTAGTAGTAGTAGTAGTAGTAGTAGTAGTAGTAGTAGTAGTAGTAGTAGTAGTAGTAGTAGTAGTAGTAGTAGTAGTAGTAGTAGTAGTAGTAGTAGTAGTAGTAGTAGTAGTAGAAGTAGTAGTAAAAGTAGTAGTAGTAATAATACGGGGAGGGTGGTAGAACCAATTCTGCGTTTAAGAAAGAGAGTGGATTTTAACAAACGAATTGAAACATCCCGTGCTCTTGCAAACATCCCACCCACCCACCCGCAACCTGGCTTGCAAAACCCACGCGGTGGTGATTGCGATGCATGCTTGGCGTTGGCTGGTGTATCTCGGCGGCCGCGCCAACCCTCGCACGCGCGCAGCGGCCAGCAGGTAGTTTGACCGACGCGGCCGCGATGGCGCTGATCGCTGGGCACATCCCAGCGGGCACTTCACTACGAGTAGGCGACTTGGGCGGGCGCGGTATCATGGCAAAATCGGCAACGGTAAATGATGATAGTAGCGATGTTGGTGACGATGTTGACACCGACAAAGGCGCGGCCAGTGCAGGCGCCGATGCTGATCACGCCGACGACGATGACGGCGTCCTCGCGTCGGCGATGAAGATTTTGGAAAGAATTCGACATGCGCGCGCGGCCGACGCGCGAGAGTGGCCCGCATGGTTTTATGTGACACGGATCGTGCCCCCCCAGCACGCGCGCAAAGGCGTGGAATGATAACGGCCGGCATGCGGCGCCAGAGGATCGGTTAGCAGAATCCCCTGAAAATGTTAAAAACCTATGGTTTCCTCAAGAAATCGCAAGAGCGCGAGCGCACCCTTTTTTGAAAACTGACGTTGCGAAACCATGTGTTTTATTATGTTTGTTGGACACTCAGTTTTGACATCGTTACGAAATCGCAGCTTTTTGACGGATTTCGGCATGCGCGTGCGACGACGCGCGCGCGTGCACTTCGTCCCGTTTTTCGCAAAAAAGATTGTCGCGATGGCACGCGCGCAAGAGCGTTAGAACGATTTCGACAATCGCACGCGCGAAGCCCGTTTGATAGAATGATATAATTTTCTGACAAAATTAAAACCGATGGTTTTCCCAAGAATTTGCGAGAAAGCGCGCGCACGTTTTTTGAAAATCCGTGTTGCGAAACCTTTTGTTTTATACGATTGTTGGACACTCGATTTTGAGATCCTTACGAAACCGAAGGTTTGTGAGGGATTTCGGCATGCGCGCGCGACGACGCGCGCGTGTGCACTTCGCCCCTTGGAAACTTTACGATTGCTGGTAAACGAGTGCGCGCGCATAGTATTTTTTTGCAGAGGACGACGTGGGGGGCGATAGCGGTTGGGCTGGGATGGTATGGACTCGTATTTAAAATGGACGATGGGGCAGAATCAGATGCAAATTGCAATACGAAAAGGGGTGTCGATTATCCCGGGCGGGGTAGAGTCCAGTGTCCTTTTAAACAAGGAGAATATATATTGTGCAATATATGGGGTGCTATCTGCGGAATGCAATATATGTGGGGCAACCTGTCTGGTGCAATCAATGTTCTGCACGGCGACGAGGCGGCGACGAGGCGGCGACGGGGGCCGCGACGGCGGCAACACAGCCGCCAGACTGGTAGACAGGCCCAGACGACAGGCGTCGACGAGGCAGCGACGGGACGGCGACGGCGGCAACATGGCCACCAGAGCGGCAGGCAAGCCCAGTTCCTTGGAGCAGAAGTAAAAACCCACAAGTGAAGGAGGAGGAGGAGGACGAGGCGGAGGAGGTGGACGAGGAGGAGTAGGCAGGAGGGAGGAGGGAGGAGGAGGAGGAGGGAGGAGGAGCAGGAGGAGGAGGAGGAGGAGGAGGAGCAGGTATACTGTTTGGGAGCAGCTTAACAACAACAGAAAACAACACTGAAGCCGCAAACGAGACACGCGGGCGACGGCCTTGTCGCCCCCTGGCGGCGACGAGGGCGACGAACGGCGACGGCGACGGCGACGAGGACGAGGACGAGGACGACGACGACCACGACGACGACGAGGACGACGACGACGACGACGACGACGACGACGACGACGACGACGACGACGACGACGATCGCGCGGCCTGCCGCGCTTGCCGTACTGCTGAAGCAGCAGGCTCAGCAGGCTCGAGGTGTAGCGCGAGGACTGCTCGCCGGGCGCGCCGCCGCCGGCGGCCGCGGGCGCGCCGCGCTCCTGCCGGGCGTTGGCAGAACTGGGTTTCGGGGGACCTGGTTTTGGGATGTGTGCTGGGGGACGCAGGACCTCCCTGGCCCCTCTCCCGGGCCTGCGCCCGCGCCCCCCGACGTGCCGCCCCTGCGCTCCGCGGCTCCCGGGTGGGCGCCGCGCGGCCCCTCCTTCGGGACGCCGCGCGCCCGCGCGGGAGCGCCGCGCGCCCACGCTGGCGCGGCGGGAGCCTCCAGAGGCCCGGCCCCCTCCACGGTGTGGCGACCACGCCGCGCGGTGCGTCGATGGGGCCTCGGGGTCGCCGCACGGTCTCCCCCCCCGCCCCATTCCACTAAGCGGAACTGCCGTTACCCGAAAAAACACCGGTTACGGCAGACCTGGTTTTTGTTAGGGGCTCCGGGGCGCTACCACGAATTGGGTCCCCTTACCTGGGGTCCTGGCTATATACCCGATCCTGGCACCTCTAGGGCGCCGCCCGGAGGGCCCGCGGCGAGGACAGGCGAGCCCATGCGAGCGACAATAACTAACGTCGACGAGCGCGTTCCACGACTCGCAAAATAACTACTCGCAAATGGCATGGATCCGCCGCGAGCGATTTACGATCCACTACATCGAGGCAAACATGTGTAACTGCTTCGATCGTTTGCGAGCAGGCACTTTGCGAGTAGTGGAACGCGCTCGGTGATAGCAGGTCTCACACGAGATGGCATAGCGACATTACGCGGTGGCTTATGCCGGCCGCCAACGCGGCACGCTACATTGGAGACGAGGGCGCTCACGCGCGACCTGACGCGGGCAGCTTGCGCGCCAGTGTCGGTGAAGACGGCCCCGCTTTCTTCCGTCGCTCACGTGAGCCATCGAATCATCTGCCTGAAAATAGAAGCTGTGCAGCAACAGCGCCCGAAGTGGAAAGCGCCCGAGTCCCCCCTCCCCCCCCACGCCTTACCTCTGGGAGGTACTGCGTTCGGTGTGCCAGGTTCCGGCCTCGTTCGGCCCAGATCCTCTGGGAAAGCGCTCGCTCAACGTGGCGGCTGGCGGCCGTGCGAAGCGGCTCCGCAGCGTTCGCTGCGAGGCTCTGGTCTGCCACGGTCGTGCCACCGTGGGAGGCGCCGAACAGGGCACCCGGGGGGGGGCCGTCCTGGCCACGGCGAGCCGCGGCCACGAAGGGAGGGCTCCACGACACAGCGCCGCAGGACGGCCCGAAAACCAGAGCCCCCCCCCGAGCCCGAGGCGATGCCTGTTTCAGCGTCTTGACCGCGCAGGCGGCCCAGATTCTGAGGATGCGCGAGAAGGATGCAGAGGGCCTTGGAGGCCCACTTCCGAGGCTTCTCGAGCGGGGCGCGGCCAACGAAAGCGGCCAAGGATGGGCTGAGGAGGCAAGGATGCAAGGATACCCTTGGGAATGTTGCCCATCCTTACCATGCGGGTCGACTGTGTGTTCTGCTGTTGGGAGTTTTGCCCTGGTCTCCCTGGCGTGCTCCGCGCGCCAGGGGAGGGGAAGGTTGGCGCGGATCCGAGAAACCCGCGTGGGCCTTCGAAAGTTGTTGTTATGCTGATGCCGACCCTCCTTCTGCGAGCACCTTGGCCTCCTGCCTGCCCCTCCTCTCCCCTCTTCCATCCCCTCGTTCTGCACTGCTGCCGACCGCTGCCACTGGAGGGCCCTCCCCCGCAAAGAGGAGGAGGAGGGAGGAGAAGGAGGCGGAGGGGGAGGAGGAGGAGAAGGAGGAGGAGGGAGCAGGAGGAGAGAGGAGAAGGAGGAGGGAGGAGGGAGGAGGAAGGAGGAAGGAGGGAGGAGGGGAGGAGAGGAGGGAGGGAGGAGGAGGAGGAGGAGGAGGAGGGAGAGGAGGGGGAGGAGGGGGAGGAGGAGGGGGAGGAGGAGGAGGAGGAGGTGGGATGGAGGACGCGGAGGCGGAGGAGGAGGAGTTGCCCCGTGGGTGGGCGGTACCCTCTGCGCAGTGCTGTGGGGTCCCCTTCTTCGCGCAGCGCGGCCGCTTGACGGCTGGGGGGGGGGGGCCTCCGCACCGAAACTGCTCGCCGCCCGGGAGAGTGCCCAGGCCAAACTCCTCCTGCCGAGCGGCTGCAAGCTTGTCACTCCTGCTTGCCAAGGCGGCGGGGGAGGAGGAGGGAGGAGAAGGAGGAGGGGGGAGGAGGAGGAGGGAGGAGGAGGAGGGGGAGGAGAAGAAGGAGGAGGAGGAGGAGGAGGAGGAGGGAGGAGGGAGGAGGATGCACACTTCCGCTGGGCCTCGGATGACAGCGCAGGGAGGATCAAAAGGGCGCAGGACACGGGGCGCGCGAGCCTGCCGGCCGGGCGGCCGACGGGCCCCCCAGGAGCGGCGCGGGTGGGCCGAAGCCCCGGCAGACCTGACCTCGGTGGGCTTCAAGGAGCCGGTGTGTCTATAGTTCTCCCACTCGTGGCCATCTTAGCGGAAGGAAAAAACGGCATAAACACAAACTGTTGGAGGTCCGCGCGGGGCGCCCAAAGTCTGTGCTTGTGGCGACTTGTCTTCATCGACATCTGTCACATGATGCAACCACGCATCGATCCCACCGTGTGGTCTTGTGGATGCCATGACAATCGACACTCTACCAATCTTGTCATTGAACTGAAGATGTGTTTAAAATGTGTAAACCATGTTCTAAAATGTTGCGAACTTGTCTGCTTTTTATACATAAACAACAAAACTATGTTTGAAACTGTTGTTCGACATCTGGAATTTTTTTGGCAGCCTGCTTCCGCTCCATCAAACGACTTCCACAATTGTGGTCGTCTGAGGACCGAGGACCGAGGCTCTCGGTGGGCCGGGCTCTGCAGGCGCAGCCCGCCACCCCCGTGCGGGCCGCAGGGGGCCCTTCTCTGTCACGCGGCTCGCCTCTGGGGGGGGGAGGGGGCCTCCCTGGAGGGGGAGCAGCGCCGCCACCCGCCGGCCCCGCCCCGAGATCCTCAACCAACCCCGACCGTTCGGCGACTCCAAAGGGTGTGGTCTGCAAAGGGTGTGGTTTGCAACTGGCGGCACCCTGGGGAACATACTGGGGGGGCACCCCAGGGGGCGCGCGGGGACCTCGGTAGACTTATCCCGCGCCGTGAGGAGGCTCGACGAGGACAGCATCGTGCCCCCCAGGCCCCAACGATGCCGATCGCAAACCACACCCTGGCGTACGTAACCACACCCTTTGTCGTCGCCGAAACGTATCCCTGTCCCGAAGATCGGCAAGCCCAGGGCGCTGACAATCTCAGGGATGCGCCCTCAGAGACTGAGGGAATCCTTGAAATCGTCGCCGAGGTAAGCTGATGTCAGACATAGGGATAAGGATATGCTCCGAGCTGGTAAGTCCTGGCCAGAGCGCGACCCCGAGCAGGTCAAGCGGACACGCGGACAAGCGGCCTGCAGTCTAGGTGCCGCGGGGGCCGCTGCAGGGTGGCGCCGGGGCGCCACTAGTGGTGAAACACTGCGACGACAACAAGACTCGACACATCAAACTGTCTGGAAGGAGGACAAAGAGGGGGAGGAGGCGGACGGCGACGAGGACAATAAACAATTGCCCGCGCAACATTGGCCACTCACTGTCGTGGCGATCCCAGGCAGGTGCGGTGGCCAGCCCCTGAGCCCTCCTCAGACCTGTGGGCCCGGCGAGGGCATCACGACGGAGCCCAGGGGGTGGCTTCCAGGCCCCAGCACCATCAAAGGACGGCCCGCGGCGAGAAGGTGGTCCCAGAGATGGGGTCGCAGGCTCCAGGATGCTTCGTCAGTCAGTCAGAGCCGTGTCTGGACTGCTTGCTCGGCTGCAGTGCGCGGCTGCTACATAGGAAGCCGAGGAGAAGCCTCAGACTAACTGCAAAACAAACAAGGAACACTGAGCCCCTCCCCAACGAAGAAGGTTCCTTCTTCAGCGGCCCGACTGTAAACCCAGACACGCTAGACTGGGACATCCAGCATCCACCCTCCAAGTCTGACTTTGCAGGGACGGTGCCGTTTCCCCGACTTGTCAAAGGCCAAAGTCCTGGTTAGTCTGTGTCCTGGTCTCGGGGGGCAGGCCTGACACACACACACACACACACACACACACACACACACACGCACACACACACACACACACACAGACGCACACACCAGACCCCAACCCGGGAACCTTCGACAACACGACAGGAAAAGAACCCACACGGCGCCCAGGCGCGCCTCGCACATGTCGTGTATCTTGGCCGCCGCGGCCGCCCTCAGCAGCGCTGCGCGCACGCCGGGGCTGGACACTGGCGACCGCTTGGTGGTCGCCTGGGCCGCCAGGCGGAGCTATCTTGAAGTTCCCTCCTCCTCCTCCTCATCCTCCTCCTCATCCTCCTCCTCTCCTCCTTCTCCTCCTCTTCTCCTCCTCGCTCCTCCTCGCTCCTCCTCGCTCCTCCTCGCTCCTCCTCGCTCCCGCTCCTCCTCCCCCTCCGCCGCCTCCTCCTCCCGCTCCTCCTCCGCCTCCTCCGCCTCCTCCTCCTCCTTCCTCCTCCTCCTCCTCCTCCTCCTCCTCCTCCTCCTCCTCCTCCTCTGTGCTTCTCCTCCTCGTCCTTCTCGCTCCTCGTTAGTCGTTCATGGCTCCTCCTCGCTCCTCACTCCTCATCGCCCTCCCCTTCGCCATCATCAGCATCATCCTGACCGTCGCGTTGCTCGCCCTGTTCCTCCTCCCGCAGCTGCTGCGGCTCATGAGAACGACCAGCTGGCCCAGCACTGGACAGCATCGAATAAGCAGCTTCGAGAACGACGACGGCGTCTGAACCGATCAGAGCACATGGCTGACTCCGAACTCCTGGGGGCACCAGCGCCGCGATGACGTCTAGCCTGCTCTCGCCTTTCTCCCGCCAGCCTCCAGGGGCCCTCGGCCGCCTCCGCCGAGGGCAGAGAGTCAGCACCTCGAACTTCGAAGCGTCGATGGCGAGGCCCAACTTGATCAAGAAATCATTCATAATCCTTTGGGAGGGGACCTCAGTTGGGAGGGCCAACTGCAGATGTATCGAGGCAAACCGCCCAGAAGTGTTGTCCCTGATGCAAAAGCGGGGACCTCGGCGAGGCCACGTCAGGGTCAGGGGCTCTTCTCTTCTCGATGCCTACTCGCATCAGAAAACCATCCCAGACCTTCGACGTCGTGGCCTGTTCACGACGTGGGCCCCCAGCTCCCGACCGTATCCTCCGCGCCGCGGTTCCGTCGCGGGTCGTTCCTCGACGGCCTCAGGGCCCGGCACGGGCCTCCGACGGCCCGCACGTAGACAAGTCTGGACGCCGACCCACTGTGCTGCAACGCTGGAGGTCTTCGAGCGAGCTGCGGAGATCGCACGCTGCCTTCGGCACTGAACGTGGCCAGCACCCCCACCTGGTGCGTGCGCCGCGCCGTGCCTTGGAGCGCCTTCGGCGCGAGGAGCCTGTCCGCGACGGGACCTACTTGGCCCGCCCTGGACCCCCTGACAGCAATACAGTGGAGGCCCGACCGCAAGAAGCCTTCCACAAGAGACCCGACCCTGAAGCCTCAGGGCGGCCGTGGATTTTTTGGTGTGGGCACGTCACGCTCTCCGTAGCAAAACCATCGAAACCCAAGAAACCCGGGCAACCTGGAGGCGAGCAGGGTTTGGGCGCCCGAGTTATCCGGGATAACTCGGGTCCGGGGTAACTCGGGTTCGGATTCCCGAAAAAGGAACCCGAGTTAGCCCTGACCCGAGTTACCCCTGATGATTCGGGGCCCTGAAGGGTGTTTCTTGGCATAGGCCTCCACTGTACGGGGGCGGCTCCGCAGGCTTCCGCCTGCGGAGCGGCCACCGTGTCACTGCCGCCGCCTCTGCGCCGAGGGAGAGAGAGAGGAGGTCGGCCTCGCGATGCCGCGGCAGCGGGACCCCTACCTCCGGAAGCGCCTCAGATAGAGCAGTCGGCAGGAATGCCGATGATGATAATGATGCTGGTGATGATGATGATGATGAGGAGGAGGAGGAGGAGGAGGACGATGATGATGAGGATGAGGATGAGGATGAGGATGAGGATGTGGATGAGGAGGATGAGGATGAGGATGAGGATGAAGATGAAGATGAGGATGAGGATGAGGATGAGGATGAGGATGATGATGATGGCGATGCCCATGATGCTGATGCTGCTGATGATGGTGATGATGATGATGGTGGTGATGATTGAGATGATGAGGCCAATGACAATGATAACGATGACGATGACGATGCCGATGACGATGATGGTAATGCGTATGATGATGTTGATGCTGCTGATGATGGTGGGAATACTGATGGTGGTGATGACAAGCATGATGATGCTGATGACGATGATAACGATGACGATGGCGATGCCTATGACGATGATGGTGATAAAGATGATGATGATGATGATGATGATGATGATGATGATGGTGATGACGATGATGATGATGATGATGATGATGAGAATGATGATGATGATGATGATGATGATGATGATGATGATGATGCTGATGCTGATGGTAGTGATGATGGAAATGGTGCTGGTGGTGATGATGGCGATGGCGATAAGGATAGTGATGGTGATGATGATTATGATGGTGATGATGGTGATGATGGTGACGACGGTGATGATGATGATGATGATGATGATGATGGTGGTAACGACATTGATGTGGATAATGACGATAATTATGATGGTGATAATGATGACGACGATGACGATGACGGCCGTGATGATGATAGTGATGGTGATGATAATGATAGTGATGATGATGCTGATGCTGCTGATGATGGTGATGATGCTGATGATGACGATGATGGTGATGACGATGACAGTGACGATGCCAATGACGGTGATGATGATGGTGATGATGATGAGAATGAGAGCGATGATGATGGTGATGATGGTGATGATCATGATGGTGCTGGTGGTGATGATGGCGATGGCGATAAGGACAGTGACTTTGATGATAGTGATGATGATGCCGATGGTGACGAAGATGATGATGCTGATAATGATGTTGATGTTGATGCTGATGATGCTGATGATAGTGATGATGACGGTGATGATGACGACGATGATGGGGATGATTGTGATGATGATGGTGATGATGGTGACGATGCTGACGAGGATTTGTATGATGATGCTGATGTTGCTGATGATGATGGTGATGATGATAATGATGATGATGAATACGATACTGATGATGACGATAATGATGATAATGGTGGTGGTGATGAAGATGGCGGTGGTGATGATGATGATGATGATGATGGCGATGGCGACAATTATGGTGATGGTCATGAAGGTGATGATGATGATGGTGATGCTGATGACGAAGACGATGACGATGACGATGGTGATAATGATGATGATGATGATGATGATGATGATGATGATGGTGGTGATGATGATCATGACGACGACGACGACGACGATGACGCTTGACCTTCAGATGTCTCCGGAGGGAGATCCTCGGAGGGCCCTGTAGGTCTCCGAAGGCTTCAGGGCCAGACACGCGGCAAAACGTCTACGTATCCTCGACCCTCGAGGCTCGAGAGCCTGGCGAGGCTCCACGGCGGCGGCGGCGGCGGCGGCAGGATCGACTACAGATCTACGGAGCAAGCTACAGTCGGGGCGTTGACCTAAGGAACCCTAAATAAGGAACGAGGCCCCTTTTCCCCATAAGTTAAACTTCGATGTTCCATCGAAACCCTAAGCAAAACCAAAGGCGAAGTACAAAACAACTAAGGAACACCGAGCCCCTCCCCAACGAAAAGGGTTCCTTCCTCAGCGCCCCGACTGTACGCCCTCTCTGTAGATTCGACAAACAGCTCAATTCCCGGGCGCGTCTTTTCTGATCAGAAGGCTCATGCAGACATGCAGCAGTGTATCATCAGAACGGGTACTCCAGATTTCGTAATAAGGGGAGGGAGGTCTCATTTCGGGGGGGGTTCTCTTCCAGGCTATCTTGGAGGGCCTGGGGGGTCTGGGGACGATGTTTTGGAGTGGAGGGCTCTCCCACGGGGGGGGTCTGAAATGGCTTGTCTTGGAGGGTCCAGACCCCCTCCCTTTTATTACAAAATCTGGAGTAGGCAGGATCAGGAACCAGAGGGAGCAGCAGAGACAATAGCCGCTCGGCTCCGCGAAAAAAGATGGGCAAATCTCATGATGGTAGCGCACCGGCAGAGCCCAACACGGCAGGTTCGCGTCGTGTCGACCCAGGCGTTGGTTCCTGACACCGCGGGGGTCGTTCACACTTGAACGATCGGCCGTTCCATGAACGCCAGATCGTTCAACGACGGGCCGATTCTGGGCCACGGGCGGCGTTCAGACTGAAACGCCCGCGCTGGGGTCGCCGCTGGTCGACACGACGCGAACCTACCGTACACTTTGTGGACGCCATGACGATGGACAACCTAACAGTCCGATCACTGAAATGTAGAAAAATTGTTCTACGTGTTTTCAAACCATGTTTTTGTTAATATGTTTAAGACATGCTCTTCGGACATATGGAACGTTTTGGGCAACACGCTTCCTCTCCACGGACCGTCGTCCACAGCCGCCCGCACGCGCCGCAAGCAAATCCACGCACCGGAACTCTGCAGTCGCTGCCCCGCCCGAAAAAGCCCAGCAGGCCGAATCTGCTTGGTGGGCCCCGCCGGCTCGCCGCCGGCGCCCCGGCGGCGGCGGGGGGTCCAGGAGCGGAGGCGGGCGGCAGCTCCTCCTCCTCCCGCGGGAGGCGCGGGGGGGGTGGGCGCGAGGAGCCGAGGTGGCGAGGAGGGCGAGCGGCCAGGGGCGAGGGGGGGGCCGAGGGCGAGGGCGGGGAGGGGGGGCGAGGATCACGAGGGCGACGGCGAGGGAGGAGGAGGAGGAGGAGGAGGAGGGAGGAGGAGGAGGAGGAGGAGGAGGAGGAGGAGGCGGGCGAGGAGGACGAGGACGACGGCGAGGGCGAGGAGGGCGAGGGCGAGGAAAAAGGGGGAGGCAGGGGGGCCGGGAGAAGGAGGGCCAGGAGGCAGCGGGGGCCCACGAGCGGAGCGAGGACGAGGACGGAGACCGCTGGTCGATAAGAATACTCATAAAACGCCGAAGAATACGCAAAGAATCGCCGAAAAATCCTCACCTGACTAGTGTTGGACTATTTTTGAATTTTCCTCCTGTAGAGGGACAGGCCCGACTTCAGGCTAGAGGTACGAAGAAACAAATCAACAAACAAACAAAACTGCATACACATCATTTCTCAGAGGTCGGCGCGGATCTCTTGGACCAGCGCTGGACCCCCCCCCTCTCCTTGGCGGCGCGGAGCGCGCCAGGGGCCGCGCCGGGAGGCGCCGCCAGGGTGGCCCAGCGCCGATCCAGAAAATTCGCGCGAACCTCGGAGGTTTGCGCGGAGGTTCGCGCCAATCGAAGAAGAAAAACTGCATAAACATGACTTCTCGGAATCCAAGAAATCATATTTCGGCAATTCCCCAATCAGTGCTTGCACTGAAGGGGTCCTCGCGGAAGTTCCCCAATCAGTGCTTGCACTGAAGGGGTCCTAGCGGAGGTTGAGGGATTTGGCGAAAGTTTCCCGCCGATTTTGGTCGCACGCTGGGTTCCCGGGTTCCCGGTTCCGGGTTCCCGGTTCCGGTTTCCCGGGTTCCCGGCTCCCGGGCCGATTTCGGTGGGCGGCGAGGTTCCCGGGTTCCCGGGTTCCTGGTCGATCTTCTTATCGATCGGTCTCGCCATCGATCTCATTACCCACTTCTCTATCGATCTCACCATCGATCTCACAATCGATCTCACTATCGATCTCACCAGCGATCTCACTAGAGATCGCATGAGCGATCTCGCGATCGATCTCACTAATGATCGATCTCATTGCATCGATTTCACTCTCGGTCTCACGATCGACCTTACAATCGTCCTCACTATCGACTCCACGATCGATCTCATTATCGATCTCATAATCGATCTCAAGATCCATAGCATTAATGTTCAAATCATCCACTGATTGGGGTTTTCTCCGGTGTAGTTGTTCTTCTTCGGTTGGCAGGGAGCAAACGGGCTCGGAGGGAAAAACGGGCCAGGGAGCCCGAGTCTTTCCCCGGGGCTCGGCTCCGTCATCCTGTCGGAGGCGAGCGAGGGGGGGTGGGGAAGCCAGA